TCTTCAGCTTTTTACAGATGCCATTGGAGAACAGTTCCAGATATTTGGGGAGGAAAACATGATAAAAGTCCTCATTTTTAAAACCACAAAGCATAGTAAGATTAAAGATCATGTTGTCATTAGCAGGAGGAGGAAACGTCTTTAGGAAACAAATACGCACTTTTGACGTTGCCCTAAATACCATCATTTTCATTATGATGCTCCCCATACGTGTGAAAATGACAGGCACTTGAGGGCCATGCAAAATGCACCCTGCCTGCTGCAGGGAAGTCGCTCCAGACGGCTCCTTGGGCGCATCTCCACATGGGTGGCATTGCACAAATCCTGCTGCACCAAGAGATACTGAAAGGCCCAGGGAGAGCCCTCCAGCCTGCAGGAGAGGAAGGAAAGCCACATCGGCCCTGCCCATTGGCTGGACATGGCTAACTTGGTTTGCCCCTTTCCTTGATTTTTTTAAGCACTAGGCAGCTCTAATTTAGAAAACCCAACCTCTTAAGGATCCATGAGCACATGTTGCCCTGATCTTGTTTTTACAAATGCATGAAAACATAAAATTTCTGTCAAGCAGGAAGGAGATTTGCTGAAGAACAGTGATATTTTGAATTTTTCCCTCATGTGCTACCTTGATCACCAAGACGTGTGGTGGGCAATTAGAAGAAGAGATGGGTTCTGTACGTGAGTGATGAAATTCTGCTCGTGGCTCTTTCAAAAAATTTGGCTTGTTAATGATGTGTGTCCAAGCGGCACAGGCTCTTGGAAGAGAGATCCTTGGCTTGCCAGGTGGAATCCTCGCCAAATACCTGCATCCACTCAGAAGCGTTTAGGCTCTTACGAACTGACCTCCCAGACTGAGTGTTCCAGTATCTATCACAAGCTAGCTTACCAAGTGCATTGTAAAGAACAAGGTTGATACTCAGTTTTAAGACAGATTAAGTTGTTGTATAACCTACAATCGCACTGTTCTTCATTTAGAAAAATTAAGAATTAGGCCTTTCTTTGTATTTAACTTCTGTGTAATTGGATTGGGAGCAGCTGAAACATCTTGGAGCTGCGGCCTGTAAGAAGATGATCCCAGCTGTTTTGCAGAGCTTAAGGCAGCAGACAGATAACGTGATAATGCGAAGAAGACTCACACTAAAGCCTTAATCCCAGTTTTTCATCAGCTTCTTCCATCAGTGATTCTTTAACCACAGAGCTGCTTGTTGATTGAGCTCTGACTTGTTCATATTTGCAGGCCAAGGAGGTTGCCTAAGAAGAGGCTGGCTTTGTATTCCCTGTGTTTGGGGTCGGGGGGCGGTGGCACCGTTGCTTGTGCCTCAGCATTTCGCAAGGGCCACGGCCTGCCCAAACCTCTCTCTCACCAAGGCAGCCACGTGCTTTCTCCAAGGAACTGTTGCTCCCGGCGCTCTGCTGTGCTCTGGGTCCCTGCTGACAACATTAACATGCCTCTACCCATCCCTGGTCGGGCTCTTAAATCCTAAATGCAGCTCTTGTCCTTGACCTGCCTTGGGAGGACGGGTGCTCCCCCACTTCCAGCAGCAGGAACAAGGAGAGGAGAGCGTCAAGCTGGATTCAAGGCTCCTCCCTGTGTTCTGCAGCATGTTTTCGTGGGTCCGCTCAGCGACTGGCGCAAACTTTGCAGCGGCTGGCTGAGCAAGCGGGAGCACGGTGCTTTAGCCTCGAGCTGAGGCCCTTCTCGGTCAGACGGGTGGCAGAGTGGTTGGCTCAGTTTTGCATGGATGCTCCTCCATCTGGCACGAGCCCGGCGAGGTCCCTGGCCAGTGACCAAGTCAAGGACTTTATTATGCTCAGTGGACCAGCATATTGACAAGCTCCTAGAACAGTGTCCAAAGCAATTATTTAACCCCAAACAGCAATTATAAAGATAAGTGCAGGCTCAGGTTAGAGCCAGGTGTGTTTTAATCACTGCTACAGAAAACTTAACAGTATTCAGAGTAGCATATGCTTTTACATCAGAAAGAAGTAAATGAACATAAAAGGCATCTGGATGGCCAGGCAAATTACACAAAACTGGTTCATTAGCCGTTTTTCTATATCCCGATAAAAAGAATGATCTAAAAGCACATGAGACACTGTTTCACTCTCCTCTGACTCACACAGAACACCTAAGATCAATATACGGAATTTTCCTATATTGCCTTCAGGAACAGCTGAAGGAAGGCAATTACAACCAGCTTTTCCAAACGGAAAGCATGGCAGGATCATTTGCCAGAGCGGGGGACTGGGGTGTGCTGCCCTGCCCCCCGGGCTCAGCCTGGGGACGGCCCCTGGTCCTGCTGCCGACTTCGTCAGGAAGACAGTGCTTGAACAGTGCCCTGACCCCTCCTGTCCCACTGGGGTGAGACTTCCAGGAAGCAGCCAGTGATCTCCAGCTCTGGATGAGTTTTGTTGGACCGCCTGGGCTCAAAGCCACCCTGAAGCATCAATGAGGGGAGCCAATAGAGGGGAAAAGAAGCTTCAGCCAGACATTAAAGGGAGCAAGCCGGGTTCTGGTTTCAGCTTTGGGGTGGCTGGCCTTGAGGGGCACGGTCGCTCTTATGAACCAGCTTGGCACATGCAAAATGGCTCTCGGGAATTGGATAGAACTGTTTTGAGAGCAGTGAAAGTGGGACGGGTCGGCCTGTGTCCCATGCAGATGCCGGGGAGTCACTTCCCTGGCCAGTCTCCTGCCTGCCGCTTGGTTCTGGGTCGGGATTAGCACCGGCTTCCTGGCTGACCCCACCTACATCGGTGTCACCAAGCGATATTCCCCCTTGCCATATGCTGCTGTATTCACCCCAGAGTCCTAATTTCAGACTCGCTCAAAATTAATTCCTTAATCTGTCTCCAAAAGTGTAATGAAGATAATTGACAACCTGACATTTAATCCGTGGAATCACAACAGCCTGGTCTCCAGTCAGGGCATTGCTACACATATCAGCAAAGTCCCTTGCAAGTGTCGCCCGGCCTCATCTCGTTCCCAGATGCTCCCTGCCCGCACCGAGCTGCCTGCCGGAGAGCCCTCACGGTCTGGTGGGGCTTCCTTGAGTCCTGAGGCTTGGCTTCCATCACTCCTGCGCTTTCTTCTCATCGTGCTTTGTCCCGGTCTCGGGGTGTGAAGTCCCCCTATGAGGGCTCCTAAGACGCTGGCCAGTAAAATGCAGCATCCAGCACAGAGCCCCCATCTCCAGGCTTCGCCATGTGAGGGGCCACAGACATCTCTTTTGTCTCTAGGCACAAACTTCTTTGCTCTGAGTGATACCTGGAGCAGTCCTGGAGCTTTGGCGTAAGATGCGCCTTCCTCTCTTTTGCCTAAGGCAGAAGGTTGCTGTGGCTGCATTTGTTTTTCAAACATCTCATCCCCACCTTCTGCTTGACTAGGTAGGCTCAGGTCACCAGGTTCCTTTTAGTCTTTGTTCTGTTTATTTCAATCAAGAGGCTCTCGTCGAGGTTACTAAGCTTTTGTGATTGTGCAGATATGTGTATCTTCAACATATAAAGTGACTCCATCTCTTTTCTGTTCTTTTTGTTCTTTTGGAACAAGTTATATCTTTCAGCTGCCGAATTCCAGTCATAAGAGTCATAATGAAACCAGATTTCAGTTATGCTACCAAGTCATGTTCTCCCTCCTATATTAAGAGGTCAAGTTCATTGCTGTTTGTTCCCAAACGCTGGGCACGGGTGCACAGGCACCGAAGACCCTTGCTTTACACTCTAGTTATCTTCCTGTATTTTTTGACTGGGCGCTGTCAGTGTTGTGTCTTCAGTTGTGGTACATAAACCTCCATCTACTGTCGCCCGCAAGTTTACCTCTCCCTCCCCTGTAGGATTCAGTATGAAGCCACCCTCTTGATGAATTTCTTCATGCTGTGGCCAACTTTCTTTCCAGTCCTTGTGAGAAACACCCTGTCCCTTGCCTGCAGCCCATCTTCCAGGAAGTGTCGCCCGTGGTCCCAGGACCCAGACCTGTTGCACTGGCATCACCTTCATTGGCAGGCATTTGAAGAGGGGAGGGGAGGGTTCATTCCTTTTCTATTCTTTCTCCAAGTACTGGAAGGATACATGAGAAAGCCATTGGGATCATCTCAAAGTCCTTGCCTTTCCTCCCCAAAGTTTTCAGGTCTGATAGGGTTTCTTCAAAGCTCTGCTCGGCAGTATCATGTGTTCTTACACTGAGGAGAAGAAACAGATGTTTCCGTGGGCTTTTTAAGCACTGGCAACCCTCAGTCAACCCTCTGATCTGCCTTGCAGGGAGACGGCCTTATAATACAGCTTAAATGAAGTTATAGCTTCAAGTGATAGTACTTAATTGATTACTCCCATACATTTTTATTTATTTGCCTGCCCCCTGAAATGTTTGAGTGCTTCCACCAGTCCAAGAGGAATTTGGCTGTTTCTCAAATACCCTCCATTTCAAAGGGGCTGTTGAGCTGGATCACAGTGGTTTGCCTATCCATATCTGTAACTTTCTTTGTGCAAAACAATGGCCATGTTTCGACTTACCCATTTTAGACAAGATACCAGAAAGTATTACCTCGAGGAAATTAGAATGTACATTTAGGTTAAAGTGGAAATCTTGTTGGATTTGCTTTGTTTCTTAGTAGAACCCCAAAGTCCAACCAGAGCCAGATACACAATTGTGGCATACCCTTGGAATAAAAGAACAGAGTATGCCTGAGTGCTTGTGGTCCTTTTGTACGAAGACAAATGTCCACTTTGTCACCTTAATTTAGGACAGACAGAGGAGACTTTTGCTTCCTGTTGCATGAGCAGGAGTTAGAAAATCCGTGCTAATCTACGGCACGCTGCTCAGAGGTCTTCCAGTAGATCCTGATGTACCTTCTGCCCCATCCGCGCCGTACGCCAGGGATGCAGCCAGGTGTGTTAGAAAGGCTGGACAGCCAGGCAGAAGTGGAGAGTAGGAAGATACGTTGGCGGATTGATGGGCCCAGGAGTAGCATGGGAAGTTGTTACAGCGCCCGTGTTCTGCTTCTTTGTAGTTGCCAACAGCACGGTCAAGCGTGACAGCTGCACGGCCTCTGTGGAGAACCGCGGTGGAGAGGACGGTGCCGAGGGGCGGGTCTCGGAAGCGTCGGAGAACCCACGTGAGTTGAGCCCATCCATCATGGCTGCCTGGCAGTGTTGCTGCAGGGCAGCCTCGTTCCTTTCAGCAATGACCGATGGATCTTTGCTTGGGAGGTTGGGGACCGGGGCTCCTTTGGTCAAGACTTACTAGAACTGGGCAGAGCAAAGACCAGCATGGCAAGCTGAGAATAATCATTAGCGCCAGCGAGAAATATTCTCCCTTCAGTGGAGAGCCGGATGACGAAAAATCCAGTGGATGCGCTGCCCAAGGATGTTGGCAAGACGCTAAAACAGAAGTGACAGGCTAATAAATGCCCTGTTTAGGCATCACTTCTGTACAATTTGACCAGGAGTAACTGTGGCACTTACTTCTGAGTATACATGCCTAGGACTGCACATGTATTGCAATTGATGTTGATTAGCGTTTTAATAAAGGGAAGCCCATGCAGCATCCCTCTGACCACAGTAAATCTATGGATTCTATGTTCTGCCTTTTGCAAATCGACCCAGGACTGACAACAGGGAAATTTGCAGAGTAGAGGCCTTCCATTTTGGCAAGCATGAGGCAGCCCTGGTCTCTGCCTGATCGTTTCTCCCTTGGCATCTCTGTGCCCGTCGGCCTGTAATCCATCGCCTCCATGGTCTTGCAGAGTACTCGAGTGCTCCCGCAGTCCAGCAGCCTGCTCTCTCCCAGGCTTCGCTCACCCTTCCCTGAGGAGCGCTGCCAAGTCTGCATTTTCAGAGAAAGGCTGTGGTCAGGGGTCTATGTGAAGTCCCCAGAGTCATCTCAGAGCCCTGCCGACCTCAGCAATGTGACTGATTTTCAAGCCCAGACTCTCCGGGAAGAGATGCACAGCGGGGGACTGTGGTTCCCTGCCCGGAGCTGTGTCTGTTTCCCATCCCTGCCCACCACGTCTGGCGGAGGCGCAGCTGCTCTAATGCACCATCAGGGGATGGCGAGAGTGAGCACCCCCGCCAGCTCTCGTGCCGGCTGAAGAGGGCTCGAGAAGGGGCAGATTGCATGGTAAATGCACTGTGAACCGCCCAGAGCGCCCTCTGGGCTATGGGGTGGTCCATAACTGCAAGCAATAATAATAAGAGCCTATTCTGTGCCTTTGTTTGGCTGTATCAAATAGTCTGGAAGAGCAAAAGGATATCGAGGTCTGCTTTTCCCTCTGGCACCTGATGGCGTTTGGGCTGAAGCACGGAGGAGTGAAGGGCGGCTCCCTCGTTGATTCGGCACACAGGCAGGGACCGCGTGTGGAGGGAAATATGTACTGATAAGAATATCAGCTCTACCCAAAGCTCTGCCTGGCCTGCTTCTCTTCGCAGTCTTTGTGCTTGCAGCGCGCCCGTTTGCCCCTCCGTCCGTTCCTGCATTTTAAGGAACATGCCTCATAGGTCGGGAAACCTCTGGAGAGTTCTGAACTGGTCTCACGGCTTCCCACTGAGAATTTGTGGCTTGGTTGTCATGACAACATCGTATTTCTCCCAGAATTGCTCATATTGATCCAGGGACAGGCGTAAATGGACAGGCGAGTGTGGAGAATAAAGAGGGCTGGTGAGTCCTCTAATGTGACCAGAGGTTATGAGTTGGAAATAAGCCGGCGCCTCAGAAAGAGAAAGAAACAGCTTCCTTCCATTTCGGTGTTTTGTTTTTGCACTTCATGTGATTGTCGACCTTCGCCATCGACTGGGAAAAATACTTGTTAGTCAGTTGTCACATTGGATCTGTGGTGCTTGTCCAGACGCAGCTGCCAGCTTCCCGGCACGATGCCGTTCGGAGACCCACAACGAAGACCCAGCCGGGGCATGAATTATTTATGGCGCTGCCAGGGATGCGATGCCGTGATAAGGGATTGCGGCGCTTCTGGCCACGGCCCGGTGTGGAAGGGGAGGCCCCTGCGAGAGCCCCGGGGCAGCTGCCCCTGCGGTCAGGCAGGGGGTGGCGGTCACTGGGCCCAGCGGAGTCGGGACGGGCCGAAATCGGCCTTGGCTGTGGGTGCACCGTGCACAGAGAAGCCCCCTCCTGGCAGCACTGGTGCAGAAGCGGCCTGGCTTTGCTCAGAGACCCCTGGCTGCTCTTCCTCTGCATCCCCCGCTCCACTTCCCTAGGAGGGTGGCAACTCCAGATGTTTCCATGGGGCACAGAAGGGGCAAAGGGCGCTTCTGGGAGGACATCCTGCCTCCCTTGCGTTAGATTTCCAGAGGAGGAATAATCGTAGATAGCAAATTTATGTCCCTATCCTAAACTCATTTTCTCCTATTGATTTCGATGAACTTAATTAGGTGATGTAATTTATTTCCACGTAGAAAGTGTTAACCAATCAAATTCCAATTCCAGTAAGGTGCAGTGGGGAGAGGCAACAGGGCTTTGTGCACAAATGGAGCAGAGAGGAGGAGGTGCTTCTGAGTCTGCCTCTTCTCCCTTGTTGCCCCTCGCAGCCTTTGCAGGCGGCATCGCTCTCCTGAGGCTTCTGTCCCAGGTGATTATCCATCACCTTTCCCTGTTTCTTGTTGCCTTTGTGGGTAGACACACCTCCACAGGTATGGGTCGCTTTCTCCTGTGAGGTATCGGCAAGGAAATGCGCCATTCACCTGCTGCATCCCCAACCTGTCCAGAGCACACGTTGGGCTGGCCGTGGTTGGCCGTGTTGAGTCCACTGGCTCGGGCCAAAGTCTTGCCTGGCCTGGCACTCTGTTCGTGGGACGGCTAAGCAGAGGCCCCCACGGGAGACCTGCAGGCGGATGCGAATCCCGCTTGCCCTATTCCCCAGCACCCAGAGGCACACGGCTGTAACGACTGGCTCCCGCTAGCCCCATCCTCCGTATTCTGGGGTGTGGCAGGCACCCCTTTTAGCACTGGCTCCCTTGGACCTTTGACCGTGATACGTCACTTGGGTCGGGCCACTTGTTTCCTTTGGGAGAATGAGCTCTGCCCGCTCTTCTTCTGAGTGATTGCTTTATACCAATCGCGGATGATAAAATTCAGTGTAAAATCCAAAGGACAAAATTTAAACAAATACAACAGTGTCAGTGAACACTAGACCTGTTAAAGCACCTGACACATTCCGTCCTATGCCATTAAATGCTTGGGAGGCGTTTTAACCTGATGCTGAAAAGATCGCAGTGCTGGCACCAAGCAAGCCTCAGTGGCCAATACTTCGGCAGTGTGTGTGGTGTGGGGGTTACCACTGAGAAGGCCCTGAGCCTGGCTGCTCCCTTCAGAACCTACCTTGGAGGCGGCAGCCAGAGGAAGGCATCAGATGCAGATTGCAGTTTCCAAGTACACTGAGGTTGGGAGAGGTGTCGGTGCCAAGCCATAAAAGGTCGCATTGGTTAAAACAAGCCCTCTGGACTGGGCATGAAAGCATGCAAGCAGCCAGGCAAGTGGGCCAGAAATCTCCTTATGTTTCCACCTTCTGATCTCAGTGATTACAGTGGCTGCTGCCGCTTGCACAAGCTGAAACGTCTAACACTTTTCAAGGGCAGTCCCATCGCAGTCATCTAGCTCCCAGGTACATCCAACAACAGAGAGCCCTCTGGGCTGTTCGGGTGGTATAAAAATGCAAATAATAAATAATAATAATAAACAAAATCATACAGTAAACAGAAACATTTTTGAAAACTGTTAAACATATACTAATATTAATAATTAGTCATAAGACCGCCACAAAACATTTTAGCGATTTTTTTTCTTCCAGTCAGGATAGTGGTTAGATCATCAAAAGAACTGACTTATGTAATCAGTCGACTAAAATTTCAAATTAATTTCAATCTATTGAATCAGTTATTAAAATATCTGGAAAATAAAGCTGGTTTTGACTATCGCCAGAATGATTGTAAAGAAGGCACTGATTCCAAAAGTAGGGTGCAACCACTGAGAAGGCCCTGCTTCTGTTTGCCATCTGCTTTACCTCCCTTGGGGATGGCAGTCAAGAAGGGCCTTTGAACCAGATCTTAATAGGTCAGTTCCTGTGGGAGAAGGCGGTCCTTGACATTACATTGCAAAATTCTAACAGTATTTTCTCTCAAATATTACTTTCCAAATGTATTTTACCCTAGAGCAAACATTTTAATAACCATGTTGATGGTATTTTGAGCCGCAGACTCTGCTGCTGCTTGGAGAGGAGTGGGACACTCGAGGGCTGGCTGCTTCCTCGCTGGCTGCCTGTCTGCCTGGCGGTGGTGGGGGCAGCTGGCCAGTGGCGGAATGTGGGCCAAGTGCTGGCTTGCAGCACCTCTAGGTGTGACCCGGGCACTTGGCTCTGCAGTAACCATGGTAGCTTCTTCACATCCTGTAGCAAATAACACGCTGGAGTAACCACATTAACCACTAGCAAGTCTAGTGTCCGTGTAAAGTTAGAAAAACAGAACTCTTCTGGCTTTCCTATGGAATTTCTGATAGTCCAGTTAAGTTCTGATTATCCATCTGCTGGCTCTTGAAATCAAATTAACCAAGCAAGAACTTAATCCAGGATTTATTTGTGATTCTGAGCACTCTAGAACTCATACTGATTACAGTAAATCAATTAAAGAGCTGAAGGGTCCATTTTAACCATTGTTTCACAGATGCGATTCTTTCTCTCATTCACTAGGTGTGCACATGGCTGCTTTATTTGTATTTTGGCCTCTTTGGGTGACCTAATTTCAGGACAACCCAGTCACTCAGCAGAGAAGAAAATCTTTCCATAAATGTGTGTTCGCATGCATGCACACACATGCGTATGTGAGAGAGAGGGAGAGAGAGAGAGAGATTGTAAAAGAACGTTTAAAAACTTAACAGTTATCATTTCTGTGTTGCAGAGGAGAAGAAGCCATATCCTTGGGTGTCCAAGGTATGTTCCTGCAAGGTGTGCTAGAAGGCAGCACTGCTCTTCCAATGGAACCAGAGGAAAGAGAACTGTGGTAAAAGTCAAAGTAAGCGGATCCTGGCCCTTTCCTGAGCTTTCTGTAATCCGTATTCAAGTGCATCATTCGGTGTGCCCACCTTCTGTTTTGTCCCCCAGCTGGGCACCATTCCTGCAGTGCAGCATCTCCAAGATATCAGTGGCACCCTGCTGGATCAGGCTTCTGGTGTCTGGCACTCTGTTCCCACAGTGGCTGCCCAGGTGCCTCTGGCATGCCCCACAGCAGGGTGCGCGCATGCATGTTGACTGAGCTGCAGTCCACAACCAACCTTGTCTCCATGTCCTATTAACGGGAACAAGTTCCTCTTTTCCATTGGTAGCAGTACTGCTCCTTCAAGAATCCCTGATCTGGCATGAATGTTCATCGCTTACTGGATGAGAAATGGCACA